TATATATATATATATATATATATATATATATATATATATATATATATATATATATATATATATATATATATATATATATATATATATATATATAAGAATTTTTATAATAAAAGTTATAATAATATAATATAATGATATTTTTGGCCATTATAACAATTTTTATATAAGCAAAACTTATTTCTGACCTCCTATCGTTGATTCCCATAAGAACAGATTCGTGACCCTAGTATTTGTGTTCACTAGGGGGCGATAAAGAGGTACATGCTAGTATTATTGTGTGCAAGTCAGTTCATTATTTTTGAGACTGTGTAATTGGCAGAACGTTTTAAATTTTCACCACTCAATCTGTCTTTCTCATTTCATTCTCTTTTATGCATCCCCTCTTAGTCTCATCATATGCCTTATTCCACACCCCAGTGGGTTCCATAGGTTTACCTAATGGATTATTACGTAGTGGATCAATTAAGTTATTTAAGTTTGTTAAGTGCAGTCAATGACTTGGAAAACGCCGTGCAGAGTTGGAGTGATGTTTTTCCCCTGTTAGTAATCCAGATTGAGTGTAGATTGACTCTTGTTTGAAGTTGAAGTTTTGTTTTTTTAACAATGTGACAGTTGTGGTCTTATGTGCACCGCCAGGATATGGCTCACGAAACGTCACTTGAGGAAGTTTGATGATATGATACAATAATATACATTATTTTGTTGTTTTACGAGCAAAATAAAATTACGGTTGTAAGTGTGGTTTTAAGAAGAGTGTGCTGACTGAAAGAAGTGGCTATTTTGGATTGAGTGGGTGAATGTGAAGCTATATAGGATTTCCTGGAAAGAAATTAAGTTCAAAAGCGAAATGGACACTGTCTGGAGAAAAGCAAAAGGCTAGTTGTGTATGCTTGAATTTTAAAACAAGAGTAATGGGGATTTTCTGCGAAAAGAATGAGAGGGAGAGAAGAAGGGAGGGAGGGAGGGAGGACAACACACACACACACACACACGCACTTCATATACGAGACAGAGGAGCGGAAACGGGTCGAATCCTACTTCAAATTCTCTTTCCTCTCGGCTTGTCGACCGGGGAAAACAAACCGACCCGAGGCACAGCGAATGGGGATTTACTAATTAACTACTTACCGAGAGATGCACACCTCCTCAGCGCCCTCCCTCCCTCTCATTCAGTTCCCTCGGTCGTGGTTATTAGTGTAGAGGTGCTTCCACGGTTCCCGGCTCCGCGCGCCCCCGGATCACACACCAGGAGAGTGAAAGCGCACACGGGTTAGATAGTTTCTACTTGTGGACGGCTGGAGATCACGATCAAAAAAGACTGAGGTATGTCATCCGCACTGTGTTGTAGATACATTTAAGATGATAAGATTTCACAAAGTCTACATTTTTAAACTTTTGTCGCTTTCGCAAATTCGTAAAGAGGTGCGCTTGAGGTGTTTAAAAACTTTTCATTTATAAGATTTTTTGTTTAAACTTATTTGCGAAATATATCATTTGTATGTATTTAGCTCAAAAGTTTTTGGTAATTCTTAAAAGTTAGCTACTATTAAATGCCATTTTAAAATTATGAATGTAAAATAGGCTACTAATTTATTGTTATATTGTACAAACATATTGTAAATGTATAAATATTGGAGTTTTTTGGGTAATTTTGAAAAGAGCTGACGTCCGAGTGCACACTGGCAGTTCGGTGCGCCGCGCGGACCGTGCCAAGTCGGATTAGCTGTTAAGTGTCTCTATTTGTTAACGCTGTTCGTTGAGCCCTCACCTACACGCCACACTATCAATCAGTCAATTAAACAGTCACTCTCACGGCAACTAGAGACGTTTAATGTGGACTAAGCGCCGGGCGTGTGTGTGTGTGTGTGTGTGTGTGTGTGTGTGTGTGTGTGTGTGTGTGTGTGTGTATCCCTTCGATCCGGCAAATGACCAAGCTCAATTTACTCTCACAAGTGCATAACGTGAGCTGCTCCATTCATTTATCCTTGTCATGTTAGCCACTGGTCTAATCCAAGCGAAAGGTTAAAATTTACTTTCTTTCCATATAAATCAGGAAAGCCTACAGCTTGGCTATCTGGTTTATTTCTTGATTTTTGAAAAATGTTGGATTGTAGACATTTAGAATAGAACGTGAATTATAGAGTGCATATATATATATATATATATATATATATATATATATATATATATATATATATATATATATATATATATATATATATAGTAAAGCATTAGTAAAGCATCATGACGTTTGATTGTAATATCTTTTTAGTTTGTGTCAATAATTTTAACAGGTTTAATATTTAACGCTGTGACCTAAAACTTTTTGCTTTTCACTTGCGCAACTAACTAAGCACATGCAGTGTTAATACTGTTTTTGTTGGAAACCTTTCAGGCGTCCTGCTCAATATGTTTATGATACATCGTTGAAAGTTCTTCTATGCTGAGCCTATATTTGATCCATATTTCGGTTAGTTCGTTTTATAAAAAAAAAATGTTGCATCAAAATGTCTACCACGGGCGATCTTTGATGCATATCCATGTTAGCACAAAGTATATATCTCATCAATTATTACTTACCCAGTGTTTTTGATAAGTGTTTATAAATCAATAAACAGATATTTTGCTTTAATCATTTCAGAAGTACTCATCTATCCATGGATTTTTTTTAAATCAGCGAAGTATTTTGTTTGGATTTGTTCAATTATTCACAAAATGTGTGCCCGTTATGAAATCTACAAAGTTGTTCTGGCTTTGGTGTTTGCTCTTTTACCTTTGCAGCTCTGCCTCTGCTCATCTCTGAATTTCGTTGCTTGTCTTTTGAAATAGAGTTCCAGCACTTAGCTAAATCTTGAAAATGTTGAAGTCACCTATTAGCGAACTTGTATGAAAAATATGACGCTGTAAAAATGTTTACCAAGGTGGTGGTTAGAAGTATTAGTTGAGCTTTATTTATTATATTTAGTAATATAATAAAAAAGAAGTCATCTTGCTGCCCTCGTTATATCAACTGTTATCACACTGGTGTATATATTAAAATAATGAATAATTTATTAAAAATCAAAGCTATTGTCGATTGTAATAAGTAAGCCCTTTTTTTTTACAGACTTTTGGATGTTGATAATGTCTTATATGTTAGCCTACATTTAATGTTTGCTTAAATTTATTATAACATAATATTGAAGTTGCCTGATGAGGCTTTAATTTTGATAGCCATTTTTATGTGCAATACTGTAAACTATTAATCACTGAACTAATTTTTATGGACTACTATAAATAATAATAGGCTAATAATAATAATAATAATAATAATAATAATAATAATAATAATACCTTTAATAATTCTAATACTAATAATAATAAAAATTATTATTAATCTTGTAATTAAGCTAATATTACAGAAAGAGATATTTGAAAAAAGCAAAGCAAAGACTATTAAATTATGGGTATTGTCTACGGGAATTGTTGTTATTATAGTTATAATAATAATAATAATAATAATAACATTAATAATAATTAATATTATTAGTCATTTCATAAAAATGTCCTTATTTATAATTTTAAGACCGTACCTCCTGTATCAGTCCTATAACATGGCCTGTTGCATCTTCCGAGTTCACTGCATTCTTTACGTGTTTCCACATTATTTGATTTCAATCAAAGTAATTAACCGCAGGATGTCAGTCCACGAATTTGGACAATATCCAGAACATCCATTAATTCAATCACATGCCCGCCCGAGCCGTTCCTCTGCGGCTCCCTCCTGCGTCTATCTTTCTGTCAATATTTGTTGGAAATATTTCCGACATTAAATGGCATTTGGGGATATCTCTCCTCTCCACATCACTCAGTTCCCCCTCCCTCTGCCCCAACACAAGCTTTGCTTAGTCCGCGATACCGAATCTGTTCACCTGGCCAACTTTATTCCGAGTCACGATGCTCCGTTAATGGAAGTGGCTATAGCTGATAATGATGGTATACGCATTAACGCGACTGACACTATTGTGTTAATAATGATGACGAATATCCAGCCTGATCTCAATGTCATGATGGTAACAATTATAGTGTAATAATAATAATGACAATTATCATGATCATGATGATAACAATTATAGTGTAATAATAATAATAATAATAATAATAATAATAATAATAATAATAATAATATTATTATAAACGATAATAATAATAACACAATACTATAATACCTTTTTATTAAGTCTAAAAATAAATTATTAGTTTTATTAAATATTTTCTTTAGTTGTACTTGTGCTTTGCAAACAATTTTAGCCTATCGAAAAAAAAAATTATAATAGAGTGAGGTGTTTTTCTGTTTATTTTATTTATTAGGTGCACTCTTTAATTTGTATTTAAAGATAAAGTTTGGATTTTTAAAATACTTTAAATTTGATACATTTTATTGACTCACATTTTTTCCCTTGTGATTGTCTAGAATGCATTTTGTTTATGCTATGAGCGCTGTCGCATGTTCTTTAGACGCTGATCCTCCCTTTAAAATCCAAACTCTTATTGAATTCGTTTATTGTTTTTACGCAAATGAAAACCAAAAGATCTTTTTTAAATTGCTGTTTAACTTCAACTCTTATGCTCTCAAATATTATTCCCTCTTATTATAGACCTCCATTAGCTGAACGCGTTTACTAACTTCAGGCCAATGTCGCTTTTATTAAATTCTCACATGGGATAACTTGCCAATGAATAGGCCTACCACAAATTGTGAGTTGTTTGTGTAAACAGCAATTTGATATCATTACTGCGTAGAAAAAAACTGCAGTCTTGTGCATACTGAATACAATTTCCCAGCAAATTAAAAGGGGGGGGGGATTCCAACTATTTGCTGTCGGATACAATAAAATAAGCGATTTTTGTTGCTTTTAACACTGCCATTTAACAATTTCACTTACCGTAAATTAGGAGTTGTGCTTTATAAGAAAGAAAAAGACATTTTAAAAACTTCTAAACCTAATTCTCTTTTTCAGCGCATCAGTTATACCGCACAGAACGGCGCAGTCTTTGCTCTCCGAATTGGATCAGATAAAGCCCAGAGAATCCCGTTCTACAGCCAGCCGCCACGGTGCTGGCTCCGGTCCTCGGTTTCCGTCTGAGGCGAGGCCACTTGGGAGTGCCGGTGAGTTCAGCACCGAAAACAAACACACAGAATTCTGCAGATAAAGCTGAAAACACTATACCCTCCTATTGCACCTCACACATATTTTGCTTCATAAATGATGCTCGAGCGCTACTACAGTGAGAAGCATCATTTTAATTTTCACTCGCATCACAAATTTGTTCACAACAGGTTGTCACACATAAGGCTTCACCTCGAAGCATCTGTTATTTTCATTTGGAAGCACTGAAATAGACGTCACCTGCAGTGAAAGTATTTTTAGAAGTAGTTTGAAACATGTAGCCTATCTCACAAGTTAAATGTTGGAATGGATCCTTCTTTTTTTTTAATTGTGATTTTTGTTGATTGGGATAAAAAAGTAAAGTCCGAACAATTAATTAACAATTAATTCAGATTTTTTTCAAAGTATGCTATTTCTTTGGGTTAATGTAACCTAAAAAACTATTTGTAATGTAATTGGCAATATTTAATCAAATTTTTAATTGCACAAAGTCAATTTATTGTAGCAAACTCATAGATTTCACTGCTAAATCAAAACATTTATCTTTTTTTTACACAAACACAAAGTGTTTAACAACTTTGAAAAGCAAAGGCTTTCACTGTCCTTTCTCCCTCCCCAATGTGCTCATTCTTCTCCCCTCGTTCACCTTCCATGCACCTCTAGTAGCTACAAACTTGTACACAATAATAACACCACTATATATCTATCTCTCTATCTGGCTTGTCGGCAGTGCGCAGAGTGCCTGGGAGCCTGAGAGTAAGGAAAGGTCAGTTAATCGATGGTGCCCAATTTGACAAATCCAAGCTAGTCTTATCATCCGCAGTATTTAGGGGCGATAGAGGGCCTCCGAGATAACTGTTTAATCCTGACGGCAACCGCAAGGCGAGAAGAGGAGATAGAAATGTCCACGGCAGAGAAAGAGACAGTAAGCTTGAGGGAAAGTTGGGGAGATGGTAGAGACGAGAAGGTGTAGGTTAAATAAAAGTGTTTAGAGGTTAGACATATTAGGCTTTTGGGACAGACAAAAGAGTGTAGAAAAAGAACGAAAGCTACCACCTAGGTTTCTAAGTTTTAGCATTATATTAAAGCGTTCTATGGTTGTTTATATTTCATATAAAATTCATACCATTCATACAAAATTTTTATAATTTTCGCACCTAATCACCTCACACTTGCATGACTTTCAATGCTCTGTAGAATACAAAAGAAGGTATGGTAAATTGTAAGTGTCTTTTCCATACAATTAAAGTTGACCCATTGTTAACTTTCATTTTATAGACGAAAACTAAAAATATCTTGTGTTCGGACAACATAGTTTGAGCAAGTCTAAAAGAACTATAGAGATACAACCAAATGTAAATGATATTATACCTCATTTGTGTTTTAAGATTAATAAACACAGCCCTAAAAAACCTGTTCACAATAATAATTTATTTAATAATTCATTTATTCATTTTTTTCCCCAGTTTAGTCCCTTTATTATTCTGCGGTTGCCACAGCAGAATGAACCACCAACTTATCCAGCATTTGTTTTACACAGCGGATGCTCTCCCAGCTGCAACCCATCTGTGGGAAACATCCACACACACTCATACAATACGAACAATTTAGCCTGCCCAATTCATCTACAGCACATGTCTTAGGACTGTAGGGGAAACCAGAGCACACAGAAACCCACTCAAACGTGGGGAGAACATACAAACTCCACACCGCAACACCAACTGACCCAGCCGAGGCTCGAACCAGCGACCTTCTTTCTGTGAGGTGACAGCACTACCTTCTGCGTCTCCTTCATTAATTTATTAATTTACCATTTGTAAACTGATTTTGTTCATTTGCATTAAAAAAAGATATTGATTTGAGATGGCACAGTGACGCAGTGGGTAGCGCTGTCGCCTCACAACAAGAATGTCGCTGTTTCAAAGCTCTGCTGGGTCAGTCGGTGTTTCTGTGTGGAGTTTGCTTGTTCTCCTCGCATTCCCGTTAGTTTCCATAGGGTGCTCTGGTTTTCCCTACAGTCCAAAGACATACATTATAGGTGAATTGGGTAAGCTAAATTGTCTGTATGTGTGTGAATGAGAGTGTATGGGCATTTCCCAGTGATGGGATGCAGCTGAAAAGGCATCTGCTAAGTACAACATGTGCTGGATAAGTTTCCAGTTCATTCTGCTGTGGCGACCCCAGATTAATTAAGGGACTAAGCTGAAAAGAATATCAAATCAATTCATTTCATTTATTAAATCAAGAATAACATCAAGAATTGGAACAAATTAAAAGGACAACTTGCAAATAAGTATGAATTGAGACATCTACATCGAAATGTCAGATCATAAAACAATTACGATGAAGATACCGTTAAAAAAATTATTTTACATATAAAAGGACAGAGCTTTTACATAAATAATAATCATAAAAAAATAGATAAACAATTTTCTTTCTTTTTCTCTCTCACCAGGTGACGTTAAAAACATTGATTGCCAAACAGAATCCTTCATGCTTTAAAGCGTTTGGAAGACAACAAAACTAGGCAAGGTAAACTTTATTTATAGGGCACAATTTTACACAAAAGTTGTTGATCTAAAGTTCTTTACAATAAAAATAAAATAATTAATAAAAAAATAAATAAAACTTGTAAAAAAAGAAAAAGGAGGGATGCATATATAATGTAATAACTAAAATATGAATATGAAATAAAATGCATGCAATACTCAAAGGCAAGGGAGTAGGAATAAATCTTTAAATTATATTTAAAAGTAGGCAAGGGATGGTAACCGTTTTCAAGGTACACTGCCGTTTGAAAAATTCGAGGTTTAAAACATTGAATTTCCTAAATCGCAGTATACCTTGAAACCGCCAAAATTTTTGTTTTTTTGTTTCTTAGGAAAACAGTATCTTCAGCAGAAAAAAAAATATCCAAAGATGCCATTTTAAATTGAAAAGAAATCTGTGTTTTTGAAAATAATGAAGACAGCTGAAGTCAATATTTCATCTGAATTATTTAGCCAGACATGTTTACTGCTCCAAAATACTTTAAATGTTTCTCAAAATAAAATATATTGTGTTCAAAGAGAAAAATTAGATGCTTATTTAAAAGCATCCAATGATGGAGAAATCCTAATGTTTGGAGGGACACTTGTTGCGGCCCGCAACACAGAAAGCTTGATCACCTTTTGATTTGCAGCAAGACCAAGGGCCAGACAAAAGAAACTGATCATAGGATCTTAATGGCCTACAAGCTGTAATTGGCCTAATAAGTTCACAGATACACACCGGGGCTGAATTGTGTAATGCTTTATATGTGAAAAGAAGACCAATACTATGCGCCCATAATGAACATGATATCATTAGCTACTATAGTTATAAAACAGTTACGGCTTGTGGTGTAAATGGGTCTCAACACTTGTTGGCTATGAGTGGTGCTTAGTCAAGTAAACAGCCTCCTACTCTTGTCCGCTCTCGCCGTCTCAATACCAGCTCAATGTAATTCGATTGAGATTAGTTGCACTGGCATGACAGGAGATCCCTAGTATTGCCAAAACACTTAGGAGGCAATGACAGGCTCCCATCGACATGTGCTAATACAAGACTCCACGACTGGCCATGCATCACGACTACAGCGTATATGCACACTTACACACAGCAGAGGGGTTTAAGTGTGTGTGTGTGTGTGCATGCCTTTATGAGTAAGTGAGCTCATAACTTGGACAGAGCTAGAGATGAAAGTAAAAGATAAGAATACATCAGCGAAGAGCACTAGAGGGACAGAGAGACAAATGGCATAACGGGATTGAGTTATAATGTGCAGGAGAAGCCGAAACAGTGCTTGGGGAAGACGGACAGGGAGACTGATGGTGACTGAGTGAAAGTGCGGGAGAGGGAGATGAAGAGTAAGTGCTTTGAGAGGATGGATGAGGACAGGAAAGGGAGAAGGCACAGCCAAGACACGGAGCAGCTTTACAAGAGCGGAGATTAAGGCAACATGTCCCTGGTCAGTCATTAATCCGGTTTAAAAGCAATTAAGCTAAGACTCTCTGAGAGAGAGAGAGAGAGAGAGACCGAGAAATAAGGTGAGATAAAAAGAGAAAATGTGATTATTTTGGCTTTATTTGGCTGTTTAGCACATATAACCAGTGTAAGGAGGTGAAGCAACCTTGATTATTGTCCCCAGTACTTCGGACTTTCTGTCTCGTTCTTCATCTTTAGTGTGCATCACAGTCATTGATGTTCCAGATGTGTATCGCAGGTTACAGGTCGACACAGGGCCTTACCACATGTGTAATGTTTCTGCGATTGTAGTACCGATAGCGCTAGCATCTGACAGGTACACAACAGAACATAAATCACACCTGTGCGCACAAAGAGACAGTTTTATCACACAGTCTGTTCTGCAAAGTAATTAACAACTATGCATGCAGGGAAAGGTCAAAGCAGAGCGATGCTGAAAGAAGAGTCCTTGTGTGCGTGTTTTACTTTTTTTGTAAACACTGCCTTTAGGGGTAATCTAATTTAATCATTATAGGGGGGAGCGTGATCATTAGGGCATCCACAGTATTTTGTGCCTCATGTTTACATAAGTCAGGATAAATCAGCATGATAGAGTTTAGGTTTAAAACTAGATGCCCAATTGCTATAGCAGTTGTACTGTATGTAAAATGTTAAGACAGATTCTAAAGGTTTTAAGTAGCAGAGGCCAGCTAGTGATGTGCTGTGCAGGTAGACCTCTAAAAAGGTGCTCTAGCGACAGACGCTAGATGCCATGGTTTAAGCCTCCTTGGTAAGGCAACCAACTCCAATGTGGAAGGTTGCCAGTTCCATCCCAGCTCACAGTGGGTTTGGTGGTGTAGAACCAGCAGGGTTACATTGGTGCTGTGACACAGATGGGAGTGAGGTTTAGGGGGGTGAGTGTAGAAAAGGCCAGCTATTGAAGTGCTGTTCAGGTAAATCCCATGTCTCTGACCACTAAAAAGGTGCTCTGGCGACAGACGTTAGAGGTCATGGT